AGTGGTGGACGCATCAGATGCCCGAGTAAGTGTGACCTCTGTGACGGGCGTGGTAGGCAAGTCAGCAGTGCGGCCAAGAAGATTAGCATCAGCGGCCGTTGACACCGATTGCGAGGTAGCATTGACAAGCTTGACGGGGGACGACGTCGTAGCGTTGTCCTGGCCGGGGTTTGAGAAGTGCAGTGACGGCACATTGACGTTGGCTGGGACACTGGACGACAGGTTCACGACAGGAATAGGGCCGGCGTGTACAGCGGGTACCAAGACAGGAACCGAGACTACGGTCATGGGCGCAGCTTGGTTCGGAACTGTTGGCGGGAGCTGGGGAACATGAGCATGGTTCCCCGGGTGGTTGTGGACTTGCCCTTGAGTGCCGTGATGATGGGCGTGCCCACCATGCTGCGTGTGCTGATGCTCGACGTGGTTGATGATGCCAGCATGTGCGTGATGGTTGTGAGCCGCGTGGGCGTGGCTGGCCAAGCCAGCATGCTGGTGCTGATGGTCGTGATGAAGAGCAGGGTGTTGGTGCATCTGCGAAGTACGGTTCAGCCAGAGCGAGGTGTTCTTCAAAGCGGTCACGACGGGGTCGATGATGCGTTCCAAGGCTGTCCTGACGCGAGAGTTGAGGCTAGACAGGGCCTCTTGCGGGTCCGAGGCGACCGCAGATGTCATGATCGATGCCGAGCCAACCCCGGGTGCGGCGTGAGATGGCTGCACACCGGACTGGCCAACAGGAACCTTGACGACTTGGCAGACAAGCATGGTGGCTGAAGAGTCGCCACCAGCCTGAACCCCGTGGTTTGTGGGATCATGTTGAGCACCTAGTGAGGCGTGATTATGGGCGTCGTGAAGGTGAGCAGGGTGCTGCGATGAGCCAAATGTCCTGGCAGATGGCCTGCCGTGCACCGCTACAACGAGGGCGGCAGCGGCAAACAAAAACAGGGTAGCGTACTGCATTTTCGTGACTTCGAGGTTCTGCGTAAAAAGCAAAACAGAAGAAATTTTTAAAACTTGCAACGTGCTCATAAGGGCGCAATAGACACCGTGGAAAAGAAAAAAGTAATACCGGGAGACTGTACGTACCGTTAACGTTCCAACGGCGTAATTCCGGGAGTGTCGCTCGCTTTCGGAAAGCGAGCCGTTTTATACGCTTATGTCGGCCGCACGGAGCCCTTCGATTGGCTAAGACAGATCACCAGGTAATAAGCATTGCTATCAATTCACCGTGACATAGTATCACGCCCATACACGCCCCGTCAAAAAAAAAAGCGCGAGCATGGTTTTTTTTTACTTTTTTGTTTTATACTAACCTAATCTCAAGTTAGCGCATTTCTTGAAGTACTCTATGATAGCACGTTAATCGCTTTTAGAGTTTGGAAAAGCGTCACACCTCAATCGCAAAGTGACGGTCAATATAATTTTAGTTGGCACACTGCCTAATAAACAAAGCAGACAACAGCTTCGATTCCTGTGAGGGCCCACTCGTATCTCAGAAGTCTATTCGGTTATTAACAGCTGTTGAATGAAACTGACGCAGGACTGCCATATTTGTTGACTTCATATAAGGCGGCTGCACCCAACATGATGTTGATGGCGCACAACTTGGGCAGAATATCCGTAGAGAGCACAGAACTCGACGCTTTCGAGGCGTTCACCGTGACGTGGAGTCGTGCGATTGCACGGAAAATCTCAGCGGCCGTTTCTGGGATCCGCATCGAGAGCCAGAGCCGGCATCTGCCGAGGACGCCGGGACTCATGGCGGCACAACCCGTAGCTAAGGATGCGTGGACGGCGACCGGGGAGGCTGATTGGACGATAGAATCCAGTTCACGGGATCCTCGTAGATGGGAGCATTAGCCGCGTTCCCAGACGAGAGGAGCCCGGGTGGTGCCTTGGCGAGAACTGTTGTCGCGGCGCTGATCAGTGGAAGTAGAGCCACATAGGGGGCCTGGACGCTTTCCCCGGACGCCATTTGTAGCGCCAGAAAGTTTTGACGTGACGAGGAGGCATAGACGTCATCCCTTGATTTGTGCTTGGTGCGGTAGTTGATATTTATTTATTTTATTTTGAATACCTCAAAGGCCCCAGCTATTAGATGAGGGATGGGTATTATTGATTACAGAAAAAAGTGACTCGAGGGCCATCTTGAATTGATGAGGGTCAGAGTGATGCACGGTATATGCAGGCAGACGGTTCCAGTTACGTGCGTTTGAGTCAAAATAGAGTAAAGATAGGCAGTAGTTTGTGTTGGCGGAGGGTATACTGCTATTGCATGGTTTGTGCGGCTGGATTCTCGATGAACTGGCAGGACAGCTGGAATTTTGATGGGAGCATGATAAAACTTATTAAACAGGCATAGTCGAAATACGAGACATCGTTCCTTTTGATCAGAAAGGTGAGCCCGGGCTTCAGGTTGGAAACACTGGAATTATAAGAATACTTAGAATAGATAGAGCGTGCAGTGCAGTTTTCGATCGATTTTGAACGTTGGATAAGTTAGATTGATGGGGATTCTCAGATAGAGCATAGATAGAGATTGCGACGCAGTTACCGCGCGAACAAAAGGAAGCCCTTTGAAAAGTGTCAACATTTAGGTTTGCATCCGCGGTAACAGATTTCGTATCCCTGTCGCGATTTCCACAAACGTGGTACACTAAATACTGGCAACCATGACACGCTCGGTATTGAAACGAGTGCCCGGGTGAAGGGAAGGGGGAGGAGTTGCTAAATAACGGCCCACGTTTGGTTGTACCGGTTTATTGATTCCCGTTGTTCAACGTGAAAAAAAGCAAAAAGAAAATGAAGCAGAGGCGATGGCGATTCAACTAAACTTTCAAAGGGTTCGCGGCGCTAGCTCGAGGCTGGCTCAGTCAACCGCAGCTGTTGCAGCTTTGAATGCCGGTTTTACGCCGACCCCAGCACATGTCACCGGGACAATATCTCAGGCTCGATTCGATCCCGGTCCTCTGAAAAAGCCCGACGACACCGTATCACGCTGTTTTGCGTGGACGGCAGATTCAAACGAGTGTATACAATCATGAGCGCTTCGCTTAATCATTGTTACTGTCGGCGCTTGCGCACAAATGGTTGGTCCCTTTTATTGCCTGCAGCTTCTTCCGTTGGAGTGATTTTTCGTTCACCTGACATTGTTTATCTATTGAAAAATTCACTGCATTCTAGAAGGCTCAGTGACGTGCCTGCTTCTTCGTGAAATCTATCTATCTATCTATCTATCTATCTATCTATCTATCTATCTATCTATCTATCTATCTATCTATCTATCTATCTATCTGTTTATCAATCATGGGCGTTATTCGGAGGTCGCAGGTTCGCTCCCTGCCGGCGGCAGGTTATCTTTTCGTCAACTTTCTTTCTTCAAATTTACATTCCTATTACTCCTGATAACATCCCCGATACTCTTATTGACATTATTGTCTGTTCTCATTATTATGACAAACTGAAATAAGTTAACAAATAACAGCATATCCACGGAGTGCATGATGATGTGTGGGGCGAAGCGCCCATCTGTCCATTCAATCTTGCTTCCGTCCGTTCATGTGTTTGTTCGTGCGCCTGTCCGTTCGTCCGTCTGTGCGTCCATCCGTCCATCCGTTAGTCCATCCATGCACCCATCCTTCCATTTGTGCATCCGTCCTTGCATCTGTCTGTTTGTCCGTCCATCCATTCATCCATCCGTCCATCTAGTGAGCACTCTAAGTACCACCATCTCTCATCTTTTCATCATATATCCAGTACATAGAAGTACCGCCGTCCAAAGGACATTACAAGGAATAAGCGAGAGGCGGCACTCGCGCACTTTCTTACGGCCTGCGCTTCGTGTCTACTTCCAACCTTTCACCGCCTCCATAGTTCCTGGTTTTACACTATAGTTCTCTATATTCGTGGCACTGCGGCCAAACCCTCGCTAAACATGTGTTCAAAAATGTGTATAACAATTTAGAGTACTTGGTAATCTACTATAAAAGTTGCTAAAACCATGCAAGGAGGTTACGCGCAGCGAGCTTAACGGGGGAACAGTTCCTTTTCAGATAGTGCTCAAAGTGTGTCCTTCTCGCACTAGATTTTTTTTAGTAAGCATCAAATTCAAAGCAAATTCATCGGAAATTAAGTCCCTAATACTCGTCTCTCTAAGTTATCTCATCAGAAACAACTATCTTTTCATTTATGATCAACGTGTGCGGGTTTCCACCGCAATAGAAAAGGGTGCGCACGTGCCACTCCTCTAGCCCAGCCATGGAAGTGACTACTTATTGCTACTACTACTACTACTACTACTGCTACTACTACTACTACTACTACTACTACATAAAGCGTGGACGCACAGCCTACGGCATAGGGAGCTTCGCCCCCCAAAATACCCCTCAGCTTCTCTTCATACTTTGTTATAAACATGTCCCAATTTCACCACCAAGGTGAAGCAATGAGTGCGAAAGCAAACAATAGGGATGCTATACTAACTTTTTTAGAATTCAAGCTCACCTGCCGTCACATTATGCTGGCGTAAGAGAAGCCGTTTCCTGGCTGTGTGTCACCTCCACGTGACGCAAGGCGTGAAATAACAGCTCGTACCAGGGCAAGAGCTGTCTACTTATCTCTGTCAAAATAGAGCGTGACCATGCCTTTTCGATCAAAGTTTACAGCTACTGCCAGAGCGATGCAGCCCCTCTTCCCTTTTCTTCAGCACTCGTTATGCTCCATAGTCGACAGAGCGGGTCGGTGCATTTCCTCTCTACTTTAGCCACACCCGTGTGCAGCCCTTCGCAAGCTTTCGCTCGCGCATAAAACATACACATCATGAGAGGATGTTGTTCATTTGAAGTTTACGTTGAACTTGATGTTCACCGCAAGCCCCAAGTAGGCACCTAATTCGAATGCAATAAAAAATACCACATAGCTGCGATTTGCAAATTGTAATGTAGATGCATGTTTCTTTACCAGACGTCTCTACTTTTTCATCTTGTTTACAGACTGACGTAGCCATGCTGTACGATGCGGTGAAACTTTTTGCCCTCAGCCTCATCGAATGGAATGGCGGGAAGGACGCAGCCTTTCCGGCATTGGAATGCAGGGAGGACAAAGTTGCTGACGACAACAACACCGACGAGCTTATCGCAGTGATGAAAAAGGTAAACGCGTGATTGCTTTCAGGAAGGAAAGAAGAACGTTTGCATTCAAATGCGCATCGATGAATTACGGCATGAGGACTATTGAATAAGCGGACTTGACAGGATGTGCAAACGGGTTCTCGCATCGGGAGATAGTGTTTTATGTACTTTTCTAGCTTTATCAGGTAATCATACTGACGAGACAAAACACACTAATGTGCCCGGAAAGCAAATCCATCCTTTTAATTATATACTTTTCTACGCACTGACATACATGCGACCCGACACACTCTACGTACGTGGCGGCTACATTGCGCTGAGTTGACTATTTTACGAACCCATCTGACGACAAAAATTTGACGTTCGCGCCATGACTTCTGTTTCGTTATCTTGATTTTCTATTTCGGCTTACTTAGTGGTCATTTTTTGCAGATAAAAAAAAAGTCACAGCTTTGCCGCAAAGGTGAAGCAATGAATGCGATAGCAACAAATTGGGAGGTCACTCGCAGAATGACAAACAGATTTAAATGTTACCCACGTTTCTCCCGCACAAATGACGCACTAAACGTACTCACAGGTAAAGACGAACGCGAACAAACGTCTCAGTTGTTACTTTGCTGTGTCTGAAAAGCAGGTCCTTTTCGCAAACGGAGGCTGTGCAATGATTGCAATAACCTCTATGCACCCCTAACTACAACAGAATCATTCGAGTGCAAGCCCAACACCAGCCAAGACGTATGATCCTCCCCACCGGGAGATAAGGGCGCGCGAGAGATCGTCAACTACCCCCCTCTTCACGGGCCAAAGTACGCGTCAGAGATGAAAGCCGCCGCGTGCTCATTGCGCCATCTTGCTGATAATGCTGAAAACGCGCGAGCCCCCCCCCCCCCCCCACCCAAGACGCTCAGCAACAGCGGCAACTAGTAGATATATCCGTTCGTCCATCCATGCGCCCATCCTTTCATTTGTGCATCCGTCCGTGCATCTGTCTGTTTGTCCGTCCGTCCATTCATCCATCCGTCCATTTAATGAGGACTCCAAGTACCACCATCTCGCATCTTTTCATGATATATTCAGTATATAGAAGTACCGCCGTCCAAAGGACATTACAAGAAATAAGCGAGAGGCGGCACTCGCGCACTTTCTTACGGCCTGCGCTTCGTGTCTACTTCCAACCTTTCACCGCCTCTATAGTTCCTGGTCTTATACTAGTTCTCTATATTCGTGGCACTGCGGCCGAACCCTCGCTAAACGTGTGTTCAGAAAAAGTGTATAACGATTTGCAGTACTTGTTAATCTACTATGGAAGTTGCTAAAACCAAGGAGGTTGCGCCCGGTTAGTTTAACGGGGGAACAGTTCCTGTTCAGATAGTGCTCAAAGTGCGTCCTTTTCGCACTAGATTTTTCGCCCCCAAAAAGTACCACTCAGCTTCTCTTCATACTTTGTTATAAACGTGTCCCAATTTCACCACCAAGGTGAAGCAGTGAGCGCGAAAGCGAACAATAGGGATGCTATACTAACTTCTTTAGAATTCAAGCTCACCTACCGTCACATTATGCTGGCGTAAGAGAAGCCGTTTCCTGGCTGTGTGTCACCTCCACGTGACGCAAGGCGCTAGAGAACAGCTCGTACTAGAGCAAGAGCTGTCTACCTATCTCTGTCAAAATGGAGCGTGACCATGCCTTTTCGATCAAAGTTTACAGCTACTGCCAGAGCAATGCAGCCCCCCTTCCCTTTTCTTTGGCACGCGTCATGCTCCATCGTCGATAGAGCGGGTCGGTGCATTTCCTCTCTTCTTGAGCCGCACCCGTGTGCAGCCCTTCGCAAGCTTTCGCTCGCACATAAAACATACACATCATGAGAGGATGTTCTTCACTTGAAGTTTACGTTGAACTTGATGTTCGCCGCAAGCCTCAAGTAGGCACATAATTCGAATGCAATAAAAAAAAACCACATAGCTGCGATTTGCAAACTGTAATGTAGATGCATGCTCATTTACGAGACGTCTCTACTTTTTCGTCTTGTTTTCAGACTGACGCTGCCATGCTGTACGACGCGGTGAAACTTTTTGCCCTCAGCCTCATCGAATGGAATGGCGGGAAAGACGCAGCCTTTCCAGCATTGGACTGCAGGGAGGACAAGGTTGCTGACGACAACAACACCGACGAGCTTATCGCAGTGATGAAAAAGGTAAACGTGTGATTGCTTTCAGGAAAGAAAGAAGAAAGTTTGCATTCAGATGCGCATCGATGAATTACGGCATGAAGACTATTGAAGAAGCGGACTTGACAGGATGTGCTAACGGGCTCCTGCATCGGAAGATAGTGTTTTATGTACTTTTCTAGCTTTATCAGGTAATCATACTGACGAGAAAAAACACACTAATGTGCCCGGAAAACAAATCAATCCTTTTAATTATATACTTTTCTACGCACTGACATACATGCGACCCGACACACTCTACGTACGTGGCGGCTACATTGCGCTGAGTTGACTATTTTACGAACCCATCTGACAATAAAAAATTTCACGTTCGCGGCATCACTTCTGTTTCGTTATCTTGATTTTCTATTTCGGCTTACTTAGTGGTCATTTTTTTGCAGATAAAAAAAAAAGTCACAGCTTTGCTTCAAAGGTGAAGCAATGAATGCGATAACAACAAATTGGGAGGTCACTCACAGAATGACAGGCAGATTTAAATGTTCCCCCACGTTTCTCCCGCACAAATGACGCACTAAGCGTACTCACAGGTAAAGACAAACGCGAACAAACGTCTCAGTTGTTACTTCGCTGTGCCTGAAAAGCACGTCCTTTTCGCAAACGGAGGCTGTGCAATGATTGCAATAACCTCTATGCACCCCTAACTACAACAGAATCGTTCCAGTGCAAGCCCAACATCAGCCAAGACGTATGATCCTCCCCACCGGGAGATTAGGGGGCGCGAGAGATCGTCAACTACCCCCTTCTTCACGGGCCAAAGTACGCGTCAGAGATGAGAGCCGCAGCGTGCTCATTGCGCCATCTTGCTGATAATGCTGAAAACACGAGAGACCCCCCCCCCCCCTCCACCCCAAGACGCTCAGCAACAGCGGCAACTAGTAGATATAATTAGATTACCGTTTCAACTTCGAAAGATGTACTTCTCGGTAGCCCAGTAACTGACGCCTCGCATTCATGTACGACGCAGAGGTCCCACGTGCGATTGTCTTTTTCTGGCCTTTTCTTTCGTGCGTGTTCATATATATATATATCTATATATATATAGATATATTATATATATATATATATATAATATATATATAATGTCCTTATATTGCTATCACAATAACAAAATGCCTAACGGCTACCTTTTTCTTTCTTCACTCCCTCCGCCAGCATTATTGTGCTTAACAAGGCACATCCACTGGGAAGGAATGGGAAGTAATTTTCCGGTTTTATTAGGCATGAATCACATTAGACTTGTCTGGAATCTTCCTATAATATTTTGTAACGTTGGCTGGAATGTTCCTATATTACTCTGTTTCTAAGAATTGGTCTATCTATATTACGTGGACCCATGATATGTAGGCGCACAAGAGTTACAACTTTCTATTTTATTTGCAACGTAACTGTGGCCAAAATAGAAAGCAATAGGAGAAATAATGGTATAGTAGAATAGAAAAGAATCAAGGCAAGAGTTGTGCTCTTATTACTGCTTCGTTGCTGATTCAAAATGGTACTACTCATTGTTTAATATTAAAAACCTTTGTCACAGAGATGCTTTCCTATCATTTGGTTACAAATGTGGCGATAAGGTTTATTGGTATGACTACTTTGGCTACTTTTTGTTAGTGTTCTGGTTCCTTTTCGTATCTATTCAATGACAACTCTAGACAACGTCGGCTTTCATGGGCGAATCCTTGATGCAACGTAATAAACATTGCTTACGGTGTTCTTGCAATTCATAGCTTTTGTGGGGGCCTTCCATCTACCAATCAATATGTTCTGGTATGATGAAATAGCTTAACTGTTCAGAGGACAAAAATGTGTCCACTCTCCATCTGTGTTTCAAACATATATCGCTTAAGAGTCATTTTCATAGATCATACAGGCATAGTATTGACATAGTTCAACAGCGTAAGACAGCTTTCGTGGTGCATGATTAGCAACATTGCTTCCATTTTGAACGACTGTGTAATACAGTCATTCTTAGCGCAAATGCATAATTTTGCCATAATTTGACCTACGTGATAGTTTTCATTCCTCAATCAACGCAGTTTTGCGTAATCACACGCGTTTTATAACACAATTATACAGTATTTTATACGGTATAAAAGTGGCGGAAATACCTACAAATATTTCAGTTAAAATTCATTGCTCCTTCCATCCTATTTTTTTTCTCTATATGTTTGGCACTATGCATACAATATCATTTTTTCCCATACCTCACAATAATAAAAATGACTCTGAACACGACTGGTAATTCTTACGGTACCATAATGATCTTGGTAGTCTGTCAAATTTCAGGTCATAGTTCATGCATTGAGTTGGTAATTGAGTTGAATAAACTTTAATGGCCCAACGTTTACCCGATAATATGGTTTGAATTTACAGGTCAGTTTCGATGGACTTACAGGAATGGTAAAACTTGACAACAAAGGCGTGAGAACTGACATTAAACTCTACGTGAGCGAACTTGGATTCGATGGACTAGAGGAGGTAAGTAGTAATCTTCTTTCGTGGTATTTGTCTCATTGTATGGAAAAAAAAACACATCTTTTTCAGCATCCAAGTGGCAATTGTTGCACTAGTTCAAGCGGACAAAGAAAAGCATTTGGCACTGAAGCAAGAGAACAAAATCAGGCATGACTGAGACGCTTTCGGTACACTCAATAATTGAAACACCAAACAAATATTACAAGACGGGCAAAAATTATCTAAAATATTTTATCATTTATTTTTCACGGTAAATAAAAGAAAACGAAACTTGATTTATAAAATGATTTTGTGCGAGCTCTTGAGCTAAACACTCACTATGCTCTTCTCAAGCTTGCAAAAAAAACAAAAGAACACCTAAATAATATAATCTCGCTTCCTTGCACAAAAAAGTGAACTATTCAATAAGCCAAGTCATCTTAGAACTGCAATTACACTACCTACCATGCCAAATTAGGTTTTGACACGTTAATTTTTTTATTTGGTGGCAATATGGAGGCGTTCTTGTTTCATGCAACTTAAATTGAGCGTAGTTAGTTGGAGAAAATACCCTAGTCCTGCGACGTTCATGGGGGTGCATGGCAATTCCAACGGGAACAAGGGATAATAAAGACTGCGTGCCGTTTGTTACTGGCCAATAATTTTCTGCTATAAAAAATTTGTAGATTGGAACATGGTCGCCATCTATTGGCCTAAACATGACCGAGGACGAAGAAGATGAAGATGACGAGGATGATGAAGTACTACGTGTTCTATCTGTTCCTGTAAGTAGCATCGTCCCAATTGCGTCTTGTACTCATGCTGAGAAGGTTCTAGCAATTTGCTATTTCTTTCTAAACAACACTTCATCTGACATGAATTTCGTAAAATTTTTATCAGTGAGACGTTCCAAAAGTCTATATCATGGCGAGAAAACTGCAGTTGAATCGATAAACACACGCTACACTTTTAGATTATAGAAGGCACCAAGTTGCCATGATAACGAACTTCGCACTGCCAGATCTTTGCGCTCAGTTTGCAACAGCGAAGAGGAGGGTCAAATATGCAGTTCCTTAGCCACCACTGCTCTGACCAAATAATACATGTTAATTCATCTCAGTCCCTGATCAGCATTCTTGGTTCGCAAACACTAGCAGCCTGTCAAACAACGTCACAAGGTCGCTATACCTGTAGTAGCAAGACTGATAAACCGGGCCAAAATCTTCGGGATGACCATTAAATGTCGCTGTCTATTTCTCGACAATGCACGGAACTAAGACGTGAAGAAGTAGACGAAGGATTAAGGCGCCCAGGCAATAAGAGTTATTCATCTACGATGCTTAGATTCTCATTCCACGCCGCCTCCACGTTTTGATTTCATCCGCTACTTCACGCTCTCGCAGTTTTGAGACAGCGCAATATTTCGTTGCTAAATCCTTCCCACGCATGAATGAGTCAGCAGAAATGGCCGGGAAGGGAGACAGGTTAAACGCCGCGTCCATTCATTGCGCACAGCGCAGTACCCTCATCCGCGAAAGAGTTCAGCGAGAACTGCTGCTGCGTATACTTGATTGGCGACTTCAATGCGAAAGTCCGAGCCAAATTACTTTCCCGTCTAAATTACCGCCCTCGTTCATCATACTTTGTATAGAATTCCACACGTTTGTGCAATGTGTCTCGTAATCTTGTCTCCCCAGTGACCCAGCCTTGCTGAACCCGGCTTGCTTCCGGTTGTAACTTGCACGTTATCACCCTTTGCTTTGTAAGTGACTGAACCCTGAACATTTCTGCTTATTTAGCTACTGCTTACAATACTTTTCTAAATACTCCTATATACCATTGTATTTATGTTTTGTATCACCCTAGTAGATTTTGTTTTGAACCTGTTTAAATTTTAGAGTCAATGAAGTTTATTTTTCTTTCCTACCTCCCAAATTCTGCGTTTCTAATCGCTCTATTCCTGAAATGCACGCGTTTATACTCATTTGTGCTAAGTAGTGGCACCCTATGATTTTCACAGGCCACTAAAGGAATCCGTGGTTCATTTGTGCCTCATTATTTTTATTTATGAATCACGAAACAGCCACGTGACATCATCAAAAACTACACCTTAAATAAATATACCTGCTCTTGTTTTTATAAGAACTACCTACGTGCAACCCGAAGGAAACATGGCGGAAGAACACCTTGGCATGAATCACAATATTGTGGCTTCAATGAAACAAAAAAAATAGTATAAACTGCGCCATACGAGAAAAATGCTTGCCTGGTGGCAATCCACGAAGTATCTCTCCTTCATCTTATGTCATGTAGTGGGTTCATTGATTGATAATAACTATACTAAGTTGGAACAGTTCAAAAGCAATATCACGTGTTGTAGATCATTAAATCAAGTTAAGGCTCATTACTTACATTGAATTCAACTTCATTTATTCGCATAAAAGTTACCTGTATTAAGGCGCCATGAACTGCTACCCCTAGTCATCCATAACTGTAATTGGTAAACTAGTCCCGAGAGATTGAGCATGGTGTGCCATGACACAGAAACTGCGTGCCTATGACAAATGGTCGACTGCAGTTGGTAAACCACTAGTTTACCTAACCACTCTAATCAGTTTAATGAGAAATAAACTAACCCTTTTCACCACTCAGCTGTGTAGGAGTACGCAAGAGCTACATTATTGTGAGGTATTTTCGAAAGCATGTCTGAAGGTGTCACGGGTGATGACTATTGTAATCGTTCTAATACGTCAGATGCCACAAGGTTAGTGCGTCTCAACCAGCCACTGCAACCCGTTAAATCCAAAATGAACAAACTAGCGCATACAATTTGGACAAAGCATATTGTCGCGCAGAAACTACCCACCGATGATGAATTACTGGCTGCAGACGTTGAATCGCTAGCTGGACTACTCGTCCTAAATGAGTTGCCGACGAAAATTGAGGCAAAGTCGTATTATACGAGCTGCGTTGGACTAGTCGAATTCCCCAAAAGGTTTTTTTTTTTTTGCCAGCTGCGATAACTGTATCGACCACCGAACTCTGCCGGAAGCTCCGTCGCTTGAAACGCCGATCTCAAGCACAGAAGTACATGACACCTCCATTAGCGGCATCCTCATTTATCTCCGAACTGACGAATGAGCACGCCTGCAGGCTTTCGATGCGTTTTTAAACTGCTCCGCACAGTTTGATGTTCGACCGAAATTTCTAGGCGAACCACAGTGCGATCCTCATTAGTTTTTTTCCTTTTTGTATTGATCTGCGAGGATAATCACCTTATCACCGCGTTTGTCCTAGTAAAATTGCAACATCCAATGTTATATATCGTAAGTGCTGTTAGATTATCGCAATAGTTATCAGAATTTGTGCTGCAAAGAGAAAAAAGTGCAGTCATATCCACGAAGTGAATGATGATGAGTGGCGAAGCTCCTGAGGTGAACCTGGTAACACTGAATCCTCCATACATTTTTGCCCAATCGATTTATTACAACGCTCCCCCCTAGCGAACGTCGCCGCACTAAATCAAACGATTGCCTTCCACCAATGACACGAGCCATCTCGCAACATCTCGCAACTTTCATCATCAACTACAAGTACCGCCATCTAGTGAACGCTGCAAGAACTAAACGAGAGGTGGCTACATACAGGGGATGGTACTGCCATCCAGTGAACACAGCAAGAACTAAACGAGAGGTGGCTACATAGAGGGGGCGCACAGCCCACGCCTTAAGGAGCTTTGCCCCTAAAAAGTCTTAGACATTGCGAGTTCACGGGCCCACACGCAACACTAGTGGCACGCCATCATAACGATTGACGTTTCCACTACTAGTCGCCTACAACTTGTTATGGGAAGTGTAAGCGCTGCAAGCGATCTGGTAAAAATGTTTTAACTTACAGATATTATGTTTACGCCAAAGTACGTCATACCACGTTCATGAGAGCCAAAGTATAACCAAACTTTATTTAACCTAATGTAAACTGATTCAAGTCTGCCTTACCGTAATAATTCTTAGGGCTTTGCGCCTGAAAACCACAGCATGAACAAGAGAGACACCCCAGTGGAAGGCTCTGGAAATTTGGACCTCCTGTGTTTCTTTAAATGGGCTCTGAGACACTTTTCGCATGGTCAAACAAACTCTGCCGATTGGTAAACGAGCCTCTGTGAACACGCGAGGCCCTACATTATAGCACAGCTCTTTTTCTGGAATTTACAATTACTCTTCAAAGTGAGCTGAAACTTGTTCTCTAACCTTTCTACAAATGACACCATATACCCAGGTGACAGCGCCATCACTCAACTTCACGACCATTGGCTTATTAGAGCATTTTTAGTGGCATAGTCGCGTGACACCACTACAGGAGACTGCTAAGTGTGAGTGCGCAATAAAGCCAAAACAGAAAGCAGGAGAAAAAGCCGATATAAGAAAAAAGATAAAGATCAGAAAAAGAGACAGAACAATAGAAAGATGAAGCTTGGAATAGAAAGAGTGAAAAGGGAGGAAAAGGTAGGAAATAGATAAAAGAAAGAACCGAAAGAGAAAGAATGTGTCGATACAGAAATAAACAAAACAAGTTAAATGAACATAATCAATAAATTGGTCAACAAGAGAAAGAGAAATATAAACAAAAGAATGAAAGGGAGAAAAAAGTGAAAGGTGAAACAAAACGACAAAGGCCAGTGGCCTCA